TAGTAGAGATGGGATTTTGCCATATTGGCCAGGCTGCTCTCGAACTCCTCACCTCAGGAGATCCACCTGCCTCGGCCTCCCAAAGTGCTAGGACTGCAGGCGTGAGCCACTGCGCCCAGCCCCCATTCTTTGTTTATAACACATTTTGTTTATCCATTCATCCATTGATGGACTATTGGGTTGTTTCCACCTTTTGGCCATTTGAATAATGTTGCTGTGACCATTGGTTTACAAATATTTGTTTGAGTCCCTATCTTCAGTTCTTTAGGGTATATTTCTAAGAGTGGAATTGCTTGATCATATGATGACCATATGTTTACCATTTTGAGGAACCACCAAACTGCTTTCCATAGCAGCTGCACAATTTTACATTCCCACCAACAACGTATGTAGGTTCCAATTTCTCCATATCCTGGCCAACATTTATTTTCCTTTCTTAAAAATTTCTTTTGATTTTTATTAATTAATTAATTTTAAAAATTATTATTTTTTTTAGATAGGGTCTTGCTCTGTCACCCAAGCTGCAGTGCAGTGGCGTGATCATACTTCACTGCAACCTGAAAATCCTGTGCTTAAGCAGTCTTCCCAACTCAGCCTCCTGAGTACCTGGGACTACAGGTACCTGCCACCTCGCCAGGCCCTATTTTTTAATTATAATCATCCTGATGAGTACGAAGTGGTATCTCATTGTGGTTTGATTTGCATTTCCTAATGACTAATGATGTTAAGCATCTTTTCACATACTTCCTGGCCATTTCTATATTTTTGTAGAAATGTCTATTCAAGTCCTTTACCCATTTTTGTTTGTTTTGTTTTAGAGATGGGGTCTCACTCTGTCACACACTTTGGAGTGCAGTGGTGTGATCTTGGCTCACTGCAACCTCCACCTCCTAGGCTCAAGCGATCCTCCCATGTCAGCCTCCTGAGTAGCTGGGACCACAGGTGCACACACTACCATGCCCAGCTAATTTTTTGTAATTTTGGTAGACATGAGGTTTCGTCATGTTACCCAGACTGGTCTAGAACTCTTGAGCTCAGGAGATCCACCCACCTCTGCCTCCCAAAGTGCTGGCATCACAGGCACGAGCCACTGTGCTCAGCCCTTTGCCCATTTTTATATTAGGTTTTTGTCGCCATTGAGGTATAGGAGTTATTTATATATTCTGGATATTGATCCCTTATCAGATATATGATTTGCAAATATTTTCTCCCATTCTATGGGTTTTTACTCCCTTGATAGTGTCCTTTGATGCCCAAAAGTATTTAGTTTCAATAAAGTCAAATTTATCTTTTTTTTTTCTTTTTCTTTTTTTTTTTTTTTTTTTTGAGATGGAGTCTCACTGTATCACTAGGCTGGAGTGCAGTGGCGCGATCTCGGCTCACTCCAACCTCCGCCTCCCAGGTTCAAGCAATTCTCCTACCTCCGCCTCCCCTGTAGCTGGGACTACGGGCACATGCCACAACACCCAGTTAATTTTTGTATTTTTAGTAGAGACGGGGTTTCACCATGTTGGCCAGGATGATCTCAGTCTCTTGACCTCATGATCTGCCTGTCTCAGCCTCTCAAAGTGCTGTGATTACAGGCGTGAGCTACTGCGCCCGACCTCCGTTAAGTTTTAAGATGGCACTCGCCATCTTTGTGAAAAGTTGAACGTTACTAACGAAGTCTAATCATATTTTTAGAAGGGGTAAACAGTGATACCATTTACTGAATTGGAATTACTATTAAAATTCAAAAAACTGAAAATATTCATTTAACCACAAGCCAATCTTAGTTTTAAATGAGGACCACCCAACAAAATATTCTGTCAGTCATTCATGATCTGAATTCTGGTATATGAGATCTATTAAAGTATGGTACACATAAAAAAGTCATGAGACATTTGTTTTGTAATAAATAAGGCAGTGGCCAATTATTACTCATTAGTAGCTTTTTTGAGATAAGTTATTAAGTCTGCCCCTTCTGCCTTCTTAATTCCGGCAAAGATCATTTTTCTTTTTGGGATTCTCCAAATGCTCCATCAGTTTATCCTCTCCCCAGGTGATGCCTTTTTTCTTCTTGGCGTCTGTGTAAGAGAATCCAATGGCCTGACCTGTCTTCCGTGCAAAGAGACCATGGAGATTAGGCCCAGTCTTGTGTTTGCCTCCCTTTTCTACCGTGTGGCACTGGGCACACTTCTTAACAAAAATCTTCTTACCTTTCTCAACATCACCCATATTTAATCTCTTTTTCGTCACTGACGCCATGAAGGTTGCCACTCCAAAGCTGTGCGACCCACTCTCTATCAATTTTTTTTCCTGTGTTGCTTGTCCTTTTGGTTGTCATGCTTAAGATACCATTGCAGAATCCAAGGTCATGAAGGTTTTCTTTTATTTTCTTCTAAGAGAAAGTTTTAGCTCTTAAATTCAGGTCTTTGATCCACTTTGTGTTAATTTTTGTATATAGCATATTTTAATATTTTAAGGATTTAACTTCATTCTTTTGCAGATGGATATCCAGTTTTTCCAGTGCCATTTGTTGAAAAGATGGTCCATTCACTATTGAAATGATTTTGGAACCCTTGTCAAAAATCAATTTGTCACATATATGAAGGCTTATCTTTGAACTCTGTGTTCTGTTTCATTGGTCTATATGTCTGTCCTGCCATCACCACACTGTTTTGACTACTGTAGCTTTGTATTAATATTGAAATCAGGAAGTGTGAGTCCTCCAACTTTGTTTTTTTCCAAGGTTTTGGCAGTTTGGGGTCCCGTGAAATTCCGTGTGAATTTTGGTGTGGATCTTTCTATTTCTGCAAAACGTGTTGTGGGACTTTGATAAGGATTGTGCTGAATCACTTTGAATGGTATTGTCATCTTAACAATATTGAGTGTCTTCCAGTCCACAAAGACAATAGCTCTTTCCATTTGCTTATGTCTTTAAAGTTTTTCAGCAATGTTTATTTATTTTATTTTATTTTGAGACAGTGTCTGGCTCTGTCACCCAGGCTAGAGTATAGTGGCGTGATCCTGACTCACTGTATTTTTGACTTCCCAGGCTCAGGTGATCCTCCTACCCCAGCGTTCCCAGTAGCCAGGACCTCAGGCATGCACTACCACAGCTGGCTAGTTTTTGTATTTTCTGTAGAAACGAGGTTTTGCCATGTTACCAGGCTGGTCTTGAACTCCTGGGTTCAAGCAATTCAGCCGCCTCAGCCTCCCAAAGTGTTAGGATGACAGGTATGAGCCACTTCACCCAGCCTTGCCTCCATGTTTAAATCTTTACCTGAGTATTTTATTCTAGTTCATTATTTTAGCTGAGCAGTCATCAACGTTATAATTTTCATATCCTTATAGAAATAATAATAAAAGGTATTATTGGCCGGGCGCGGTGGCTCACACCTGTAATCCCAGCACTTTGGGAGGCCGAGGCGG